TCCTAGCACTTTGGGAGGCCGAGGCGGGCGGATTGCTCAAGGTCAGGAGTTCGAAACCAGCCTGAGCGAGACCCCGTCTCTACCAAAAATAGAAATAAATTAATTGACCAACTAAAAATATATATCAAAAATTAGCCGGGCATGGTGGCGCATGCCTGTAGTCCCAGCTACCCGGGGAAACTGAGGCAGGAGTCGCTGAGCCCAGGAGTTTGAGGTTGCTGTGAGCCAGGCTGACGCCACGGCACTCACTCTAGCCTGGGCAACAAAGTGAGACTCTGTCTCAAAAAAAAAAGAAAGAAATTACAGACACAGTCATAGCTTCCTGTGTCCTGCTCCCTGATTTCTTTCTTCTTTTTCTCCTGAGGCTACTCCTATCCTAAATTTGGTGATTATCACTCTCATGCATGTTTTCATATTTGACTATACACGAATTTAGTCCTAAACAGTGTAGTGTTCTTAAGCATGTTTCAAAGTATGAATAAATGGTGTTGTCCTGCACATAGTAATAGTATCCTGCAACTGTTATCATTACAGTTTTGTTCAGCAGTATGTTTTTGAGATTTAGTCGTCATGCTGGCTATTTTCTTACTGTTTCTTAGCCCCATTCCCACCCTTCTATGCTCTGCGTTTCTCAGGCTCCTTCGCCAGTTGATCTGGCTTTGGATTCCTTCAATAGAAGGCACTGAGAACAGAAATGAGAAGTTTTAGTTCTTGTACGTCTGTTCTTTTCTCTTCTCCTGGTGCTTTTTCCTGATGCAGCTTCCTCCTCCATAGCCCCAGCTCCAGCCAGGTCCCTCCTCACTCCTCCTGGCTTCGTGACAACCCCTCCTGCTTTCTTCTCCCAACCCTAGGGAGAAATATATATGCTGCAACCCTAGGAATATGGAGCCTTCCTATAGTTCCTGGTCTCTGAGTTATCATCTCTTTTTGTTTCTCTTTGAGCCTTGCAACACCTAGACAACCAATCCCTGTATTAAATCTCCTGTGCTTGTAAAATACTACCATGTTTTTTGACGCGCTCTGACTGCTGTAGGTATGTTATTAAAAGTAGCTCTAGATCATTGCTTTTTTCTTTTTTATGAGACAGGGTCTCATTCTGTCGCCCAGGCTAGAGTGCAGTGTGCTATCATAGCTCACTACAACCTCAAACTCCTGGGCTCAGGTGATCCTCCTGTTCAGCCTCCCAAATAGCCAGGACTACAGGTGGGCACCACCACACCTGACTAATTTTTAAATTTTTTGTACAGACATGGTCTCTCTATGTTTTTTTTTAAATTATTATAGTCAAATTAATCAGTCTTTTGTGGTTAGTGTTTTTTAACTCTTGTTTACAATATTTTCTTTTTTAAAAAAACTTTTTATTTTTAATTATTGTGGGTACATAATTATTATATATATATATTTATTTCGGCATATTATGGGGGTACAGATTTTAAGGTTTCAATAAATGCCCTTTCCCCCCCCCCCTATTATATTATATATTTATAGGGTACATGTGATGCTTTCATACAGGCATACAATGTATATTAATGAAATGGTATTGGGGTATCCATCACCTCAAACATTTATCATTGCTTTATATTTGGAATACTCTAGTTCCACTCTTTTCTTTTCTTTTTTTCATTTTTTAAATTTAACTAAAACCTTTGTTATTCCCTTTCTCTTTTTTCTTTTTGTTATCTACATGTATCAACTCTTTTAGTTATTTTATTTTATTTTTTGAGACACAGTCTCACTGTGTGGCCCTGAGTAGAGTGCTGTGGCATCAACCTCGCTCACAGCAACCTCAAACTCCTGGTCTCAAGCGATCTTTCTGTCTTAGCCTCCGAGTAGCTGGGACTGCAGGCATGCGCCACCATGCCTGGCCAATTTTTTCTATATATATTTTTAGTTGTTTAGCTAATTTCTTTCTATTTTTTAGTAGAGATAGGGTCTCACTCTTGCTCAGGCTGGTCTTGAACTCCTGAGTTCAAACAATCCACCCACCGGCCTCCCAGAGTGCTAGGATTACAGGTATGAGCCACCACTCCTGGACTCTCACTGTAGTTTTGATTTGCATTTCTCTAATGACTAACTAATGATGTTGAGCATATTTTCACATGCCTGTTGGCCATCTGTATGTCTTCTTTTGAGAAATATCTATTCAGATATTTTGCCCATTGTTTAATTGGAGTATTTGTTTTTTTTCTATTGAGTTGTTGGAGCTCCTTATCAATTCTAGTTATTAATTCCTTATAAGATGGGTAGTTTGCAAATATTTTCTGCCATTCTGTAGGCTGTTTCTTCACTTTGTTGATTTTTCATTTGCAGTATAGAAGCTTTTTAGCTTGATTAAAATATTTTATTTCAAGGTTATAAAGATATTATTTGCTTTTTTTTTTTTTTGAGACAGAGTCTTGCTTTGTTGCCCAGGCTAGAGTGAGTGCCTGGCGTCAGCCTAGTCACAGCAACCTCAAACTCCTGGGCTCAAGCGAATCCTACTGCCTCAGCCTCCCGAGTAGCTGGACTACAGCCATGCACCACCATGCCCAGCTAATTTTTTCTATATATATTAGTTGGCCAATTAATTTCTTTCTATTTATAGTAGAGACAGAGTCTCACTCTTGCTCAGGCTGGTTTCGAACTCCTGACCTCGAGCAATCTGCCCGCCTCGGCCTCCCAGAGAGCTAGGATTACAGGCATGAGCCACCGCGCCCGGCCATGTATATTGATTTTGTATCCAGAAACCTTATTAGTTTTAGAAGTATGGCTGTTTGTGTCACACACAGAGATCTTTGGATGTTGTCATCTCCTTGAATTCCAGGGATAACCCTACCAGGCCATGGATAAATTCAATTTTCTAGAGATTTATTTACAATTTTGAAGAGGTGCCTTTGTGTAAAATTTGTAATCTGAGAAACTGAATGGCCGTGCAGGAATGACTTCGTCTGTCAGAGCGACAGAAGGCTTATGTAGAGCAGGCTATTTTGAACTTGGAACCTAGAGCAGGCTTATCTGTCTTTATTGACCCTTCTCTGCCTTTGCTTAAAATTTTTCTAGTGCTGATTACCACCACACTCTCTTCACTACGTTTTAGCTCCTGTTGAGATTGTGCTCCATTGAGAACTCAAGCAGTACTAGCCACAGTCCAGTCTTTTGTCACTCTCCATGGTGCTTATCATAGTACTTATTCAAAGAGCTCCAAGTTAGGGCAAAGTGGTGTGTACTATGTTGAATTGATGAGCTTCTGTTTATTAACCCATTGTAGTTTCAATTTTATCTTGGCCTCCAGGAAGCTAAGAGCTAAGTTATATGCTCAGTAATAATTTCATTGATTCTGTTTTTTTTTTGAGACAGTGTCTTGCTATGTCACTCAGGCTGGAGAGCAGTAGTGCAGTCATGGCTCACAGCAGCCTTGAACTCCTGGACTCAAGTGATCCTCCCACCTCAGCCTCCTGCGTAGCTGGGCCTATAGGTGCATGCCACCATATCTGGCTAATTAAATTTTTTGTAGAGCGAGGGGTTTTGCTGTGCTGCCCAGACTGGTCTTAAACTACTGGCCTCAAGCGATTCTCCTGCCTCAGCCTCTCAAAGTGCTAGGATTATAGGCGTGAGCCACTGTGCCCAGCCTCTGGTTTTTAAATATTACTCTTTTTTGTACACACTTCCCTTATTCCAACAGCTTTTTTTCATAGCCTTTTATTACTTTATTTTTATGAATTTTACGCCTCTTTTAATGCTATACAGTTTTATTGCTTGCATGCTTTAGTAAAAGCTATGTCGCAAATCCTTTTGCCAGTAGGTGGAGTTTAAATTCTAAATAAAAAGAGAAATGTTCAATAAATGTTGACTGGATGGAGAATCTGGAGACTTTAGGGGTGGTGGAGATTTTCCAGAATCATTGGTGCAGAAGATTAATTTCGATGTTGTGGTGTGTATGCTTGTAAATAATGCCTCTCACACCCAACAATACTGTATTGAATTCAAGGGAAAAAACTGATTTTGCATTCAGTTTCTGCTAGTAAATCCAAAAGCATTTCACAACCATATAAAGTAATAGTGCTCAGGGTGGACCTGACAACTGCACATATTACCACTGAATATTATGTGTGTTTTTTTCTTTTTTGTCACCAACAGTCTAGTTCCAAGGGAATGAATATTATTAAGTACCGAATCGAACTGCTCATGAACAGTTATGGGATTTTTCTAGAGCCGAATCTAAATCTGATTTTTAAAAATCGCTCCAAGACCTTTTGTGTTCTCTGGTTTCTGAATTCCAGCAACCCTCCTCCAAGGGCATCTCCCAGAGGGGCGCAGCTCATTAACAGGGGCCACACAAAGCCTTTCGCTCCTTTACTCACAGCCCTTCGGCGGGCTCCCAAGGAGACCAGTCGAGAGCCCAAGTCATGCTTTCCTATTACTCATTCCGCCTTTTCTCCCAAGGTGGCGTGTGGGAGGTGTTGTGCTCGGGTTCGACAAGAATAGGCCAGGAAGCGTTCTGCAGGATACACTCATCCTTCGCGTGCCTCAGTTCCGACCGCGCCGAGTCGGGCCGGCCCAACCGGAGAGCTGTTTTCCAAAGGGACAATGACCGCAACTCGCCGCCTCCCACGTCCTCGCGGCTCCTCCGCGGGCGCCCGGACCCCTGCGGCCCGCCCCGCCTCACTTAGTCGACCTTTCGTCCCCTTACAAGGAGGGTTATGAGGGTGGGTAGGCGCGGCCGAGGTCGACCAAAGCCCTTCGGGGGTCACCGGGAGGTAACCCTCGGTGCAGGTTTCCGCCACTCCGCACCCCCACACCCCCCGCGCCGGCTCCAAGGCCACCAGGCGGCGCTCGGGTGTCTCCGCAGCGCCTCATCGCGGCCCTGTTCCTCGGCTCCCTCTGCGATTGGCTGGCCGCCCCGAGCTCTGCGCTTCGATTGGCCTCAGCCCGCGTCAGTCGCCGGCTCCTGGGCGGGCCGAGGTGACGCGCGGCGGCCTCGCTCGGGGCGGTGTCCCGCGCCCGCGGCTACGGGCGGAGTTTCGCGGAGATCGACGCGGGGCAGTCAGACGACAGCGGTCCTGCGAGGCGCCGGCGCACACCCGAGCCTCTCCCCGTCCTCGGCAGCCGCCACCGCCGGCTCGTCGCCCTGCCCTGGCCTCCCGCACTCCCGCCTTCCGCTCGCCGCTGGCCTGATGCGGAGCAGGGCCGCTGCGTGATGGGGCTGCGGAGCGGCGCCCTGCGGCTCGCGGCGGCCGCTGCTCGCGCTGAGGTGCGTCGGTGCCCGGTCCCCCGCGCCCCCGCGCGCCGGGGCGCCTGCTGACCCGGCCCGCAGCCCGTCGGTCCGCAGCGCGGCTGAGGTGAGGCGGCGGGGCGGGTGGGGGTTGGCGCCGCGGCCGCCTGGCCGGGGAGGGGGCCGCTCCGGGCGGGAGGGGCGGGCCGGGGTCCGAGGGGAGGCGGCGCCGGGCCCGGGTGGGCGCGGGGGGCGCCGGGTGGGGGAGCCTCGCCTCGGGGAAGGGGCCCCTCCCCCGGCCGGCGGCGCGTCCCGGGCTCGCGTCCAGCGGCCTGCTGGGTCCCCCGCAGTGCCCCGCACCGGCTGTCCGTTTCCCGAGCCGCCGGGCTCTGGCTGTGCGCGGCTGTCAGCCGACCCGCCTCCGGCCGGCCGTTCGCCGGGGTCTCTGCGCACGTTGCAGCTCTGGGGAGATGGCAGTGCTCCGTTTGGAGCCATCCTTATTTCCCCTCTCCCCTCTCCCCTCTCCCCCATGGTAGTTGGCATCAGGCTTCGGCTGGGAAAGTGGTTGTGCCCTTTTGCCAGGTGGAGGTACGGAAGGTCATCGCATGGCACAGGGGGAGCCGAGGGCGCGAGCGCTGGAAGGAGGGGCGCCCCGGGAAGGGAGGGGGCTTGTTGGACGCCGGCCGGCCGTGAGGAAGGCTGGTGTGGTCTCGGCGTTCAGCAGCCCGGATTACTCTGGCAGCCATATTGGGAGGATGATCTGACAAATCCTTTAGGAGCCAAGTCCAGTTGCTGGAAGGCACCGAGTGACAGCCCTGGCAGCTTTCAGGGTGACTGGTCAAACCAGAAGCCAAGTTGTGGGGGTTGGGAGGCTTGTGGAGCAAGCTAGTCATTGTTCATGCAACACAAAACATTCCCGGCCCTGAAACCAGAATTGAGCTCCCAAATCACTTTTTCTCCTTGGTGAATGGTTAAATGAGCTTCCAAGGTAAACTGCCTTCAAGATTCCATGCTTGTTGGGGTGAAATGTCGTGTTTTTGTATTCGTCTTCTCTGTCCAACTGCGTGGCTGTGGAAGGCCTGTTGATGCCTTGTGCATAGCCAGATTTGAGGATTACTAAGGCCGCTCTAGCAGCCTGGAGGCCTCGAGTTAGTATGTTATATTGGATGGATAGATTTTCAGAGTAGCTCAACATGTAGAGAATAAACCAGAATATTCTGATAGTGGGGAAGGCTTGCAGCAGTATTTCTGAGGATGCAGGTTGTCATCTTTGTGGAATCTCGAGGTAGCCGAAATTAGCTTGTCAACAAATCCCTTGCTCATATCTCTCACTGCCCTAGGCAGCTGTTCTGCCAGCACTGAACATGCTGCTTTGTGTCATGATGTGTCTGTCTGAGCCCGATGAAAGTGTGGTGATTGGATTTGAATAAGTCTTAAGAAGCGATATCATGGTGGATATTTTATTTAAAGGTTGGCGTTTTGTCCAATTAGCTTAGTCATAACAAAATCTTAGCTTGTGTGTTCCTCTAAGAAGTGAGGTGGTGCCTTCTAATTAAGTTGGTGTGGTTGTTGGATCATGAAGAAAGTGGAGTTGTTAATGTACCATTTGAGGATGGAATGTGAAAATTGCACATATGTTGATGTTGTAAAGCAAATCTGGAAATGATCAATAACTGGGTTCAGCATGAGCCCGTAAATCTGTGTTTTGCTATATCCTAGACATGGACAGGACCTGGGGAGATGGCATACCTGCTTTCTTCTTTGTGCCTTTGCTTTCATTCAGATTCCATCTTAATGAATAAATTATAACTTCTTAAGTTGAACTACTTAAAAAATTTCAGATTGACTTTTCTAAGAAAAATCTTAACACACTTTATTTTTTGTTATTTTCATCATCAAGCTTTCCTTTTAAAACTTGTTGAATGAAACATAGCTTCAACAGTAACTAGTATTTTTTTTTGTACATTAATATGAGAGAAATACAGAATGTTTGTTTTGAAAGTCCATTTTCCAAGTAAATATTTCTAAGTTTTTAATTTTTAGAGTTACTTTATTAAAGATCTGAAAAATTGTGGTTAAATATAATTTCAGCATTTGGTAAAATCAGACCTGATTGTGAATCTGATATATGAAGGCAAGATTCTTTGAGTCTGTGCAGCTCTGTTCTGATGAATGTTTTCCCAAAATTCATCCAATTAAGTATGGCTTCTAAGGCTTAGAACAGACTGTTTTTCCTTCTCAAGACTAAATATGAATGCAGTTTTCCTTTTTCTCTTTCCTCTTTCCCATTTTGAGTTTGTGTAGGGTATAAATGTCCAAGAAGAGTCTGCCAGCTGAGTCTATCTGAAGGCCACAGTTTCTAGTCCATTTTCCTACTATGGTCTTGTCCTGGGTGCAAAGTAAAGGACAACAGCGGCTCCCTGCCTACCTGTTTGTAACCACCTTCCCAGGCTGCCAGTCATAACAGGTCTTTTCCAGGAGGAAGCATATCCCTCTGGTCTTGTAAACTGACATGTAATTCACAAGGCTCAGAAGTTAAAGATATATCATGGCCACTTCATGTAGTTCTCTTTGCAAAATAGCCTTGTTTGAACAAGATATTGGCGAATTTCTGGATTCCATAAAAGAGTGTGACTAAATATGCATACTTCTAGAACCTTTTTTGTGTGCAGCTCATCACAAAGAAGAGAAATTAAACAGATGCAACTGTGATAGGAAAAACCTGCAAAAGATGCCTTGGATTCCTCTCTCAGTTGAGCTTTTTGGTTAATGGCTTAGTGATTCATTTATGCTCATTTTTACTACAGTCATTACCAGTTAATTTAGAGTACATTTAGAGATTTAGTTCTTTATCCTCAAGGAACTTACGCTTTACCATTTTTATATAGATATGGTAAGATAAAGTTAACTCCAACTCCTTTCTGTTTTAGTACAATTTTGTTTAATGCTGCCCATGCCATGGTTGTTTCCATGATTTTGAGTCTTTTTCAAAACTCTTTGTAATGTTATATACATAACGCTGTGGTTATGATACTCAATCAATACTTTTACAATTGTCCTATGGTTGTTTATATTTTAAGTCACAAGATTGTAAATATATGATGGCTTAATTTTTTTTTATTTAATACCACATTGTTTACACTGAAGCATATTATTCAATTGACCCATCCTCTACCATTGCCTTTGATGACTTTGATTCTTGGCTTAGTTCTTCCATCTAAGTTTTTGACATCATCTTGGCATATGTCAATGATTGTGTAAATAAGCAAAAATAACAACAATAATGATAAAATAGCTTACTCATATGGAGTACTTTCTATGTGTCAGGCTTTTCCAGGCAATTTATATTTATTAACTAGTTTAATCCTTATAACACCCATATACAATAGACACTATTATTCTCATTTTACAGGTGAAACTGAGACAGAGGTTAAGTGACTTCTCCACTGGCATTAGAACTAGAAAGTAACTGCTATGCTGAACTTCCTTTGTAACTGTCCTTAACCTTAAAATTCCTTGACCTCAGCTCAAGCAAACATTGGCTTCATTCTGTTTCAGTAGCTCAGTATTACAGCCACATCTTCTAACTTGTCATCATTTACAGAGCTCAAATTCATCTTCAACTCTTAAACTCTAATAATTTACAGCTTTCACTTTCGGAGTCTCTTTCCATGTGTTCTCCCACCTCAAGTCTCCTAGTCCATCACCCTCTTCCAGATTTTACTTCTTTTCCTTCCTTTTGTACATTGTGACCTCTGGAGCACATTGCCTGCAGTTTTTATTCTTCCTCATTATTCTGTAGGACCCACTATGCAGATGCCTGCCCCGCGTCATCCCATTCATACCCTCCATTCTTCTTCTGTGTCATGGAGAAACCTCACCCTGTGCTGGGGATTAATGCCACAATAAATGTGTAGTCCAAAGTCTCCCCTGAGTCTGTCTTTGGTGTTTGTTGAAGCAGTTCTGCTTAGTTCTCTCCCTGGTTCTTTTTTTTTTTTTTTTTTTGAGACTTATTCAGAGTCTTGCTCTGTTGTCCAGGCTAGAGTGAGTGCCGTGGCATCAGCCTAGGACACATAAGAGTTAAGTAATTGATTCCACTTGCTCATGGCTGTTTCGTGACTTTGGATAAGTCATTTCTCTCCCTGTTTTTTTTTTTTTTTTTTTTATATATATATCAGTTGGCCAATTAATTTCTTTCTGTTTATAGTAGAGACGGGGTCTCGCTCTTGCTCAGGCTGGTTTTGAACTCCTGACCTTGAGCAATCCGCCCGCCTCGGCCTCCCAAGAGCTAGGATTACAGGCGTGAGCCACAGCGCCCGGCCTCTCCCTGGTTCTTTACAGTTGCTATTCTAATATCCCAACCACTTGATGTAAGCCCCCCACAGCCCTACACTTGGCAGAAAACCTCACCTACCACCTCAGGAAAAAAACATGAACTCCCTAAGCTTCCCCTTCTACTTACAACCTTCTCTGCCCTTTTTCTTCCCCTCACTCCTGTCTGAGAAAGAGGTTACTCTCCCTGACTTATGTTCTCTGGGTATCACTGTTTCCTAATCTTTAGAGACTTGCTGTATTGGTCACTCTTCTTTCCCCTTCATTGACTATTTCCCCACTTTTCTTGAACATGCCAGGCATAGTCCTACCTTAGGGCCCTTGCTCTGAATCTTTCTTCTGCCTGGAATATTCTTCTCCTGAAATCCACTTGGCTAACTCTTTTATCTCTTTCAAGTTTTTGCTTACATGTCACCACCTCAGCAGGCCTACCCTGACCTCATTTATACACTGCACAGCACTCTTCCCACCACCCCCTGATCCCCCTAACTTTGCTGTACCCCCTCATAATACTTATTACATTCTTTATAGCTTATTTTTTTCTTCTTACTCTCCTCCTCCTTCCTCTTCTTTTTCTTCCTCTTCCTCCACTTCTTCTTTTTGAGACAAGGTCTCACTCTGTTGCCCAGGTTAGAGTTCAGTGGTGTGGTTTTAGCTTACTATAGCCTTGAATGCCTAGGCTGAAGCCATGCTCTGGCCTTGGCCTTCCAAGTAGCTGGGACTGTAGGCATGTAGCACCATGCCCAGCTAATTTTTCTATTTTTTTGCAGAGATGGGGGTGGGGTGGGATGGGGG